GGTAAATATTAATCATAACTAATTATTAGGGGCACAGCATGACCCTGATCCCGAGGGGGCCAAGCTGAGCTTTCTTTCATTATTTGGTGTGTTATTTGGGTGTCGGGGGCTCGCGGTGCTGGGTGGGAAATCACGGCAGAGCCACAGGGATTATTATTACTATTATATATATATATTTTTACCATTTTTGTTTAATTTTCCTCTTTATTTGGACATCGCAGAAATAGCCCTGTGGAGTGAAGTGCAACATACACAATATCTCAGAAAAGGAGGAAAGAAAACCTTGCCCGGAGGTCGGTCACTCAGTCGCAAACAGAAACAAGGAACAAGCCCTCGCCAAGAGGCTTTTTTTTGTTTGTTTTTTACCTCTTTTTTATATGCACATCATGCAAAATAGTTCAAAAGAAAGATTAGAAAAGAGAAGTCAAAGAAAAACCCCACGAGAGATTCGCCCAAGCCCTCGAAAGAGCAGAAAACCCCGAGTGCTGCTTGACTCGGGGAGGGAATCGCTGCCCTCCGGCATCTCCAAGTGTTTGGCACTCTTGTGATTACATCAGGTTAGTTTATCTATATCATTTGAATACAGTCTATTAAAGAAACGGCCACAACAGAAGGAAAATAAACCCCAAACCAAACAAATCACCACACTACAGACTGCAGGGTAGTTAGAAAAGCCGAGCACCCCCCACCCCCCTGTACATATAAAATCTGTCCCTTTGCTCACAGCAACCAAGAAATACAAGCTTTAAAAAATAGCCAGCGCTTCTTCCTCTAGGCCCTTCCCTTATAAAAGTTTGGGGGTTTCCCCCTCGAGAACCTTAAAACGTGACTAAAACGAAAGAGATATTTATATATTTTATATAGTTTTCCAACATCCAAAGACATCAACATAAAAAACAAACCAACCTCGGAAGGGAAGGGGGAGCGTGGTACATCCAAGTGCACGGATTCATTTTTGCAAGGTTAAATAATGTAAACAAGGTGCCCGCTGGGAATGCCCCTGGAAAGGGGGGAGACCCCCGGGGGAGGGGGGTCTCACTTCCACCCCTTCCATCCTTTGCCACCCCCTTTTTCCCTTCTTACCCCCCACCCCCCCCCAAGATCTCGCGTGGTGCAAGGTTCATCAGACCCAGAGGAGGAATCGCGAGTGATTCCGAGCCGCGGTGTCGCTGCCTCCATTCATCCCTTGTGCCGCAGGTTGGGATAAGGGATTGGGGGGGGGGGCTGTGTATTTTTCGCGATTCTCTCGTTTTCCAGTGGTTTATCAGTAGTTTGGTGGCCGTGGCTGGGCAGGGCTCCTGGAGGGCAGAGGCTGCGCTGCTGTGCGACGGGGACGGCTCTCCAAGTGCTCGCTCAGCATACAGGCGCTGCGGTCTTGGCGGGGGGGTTGGTGGTGGTTATTTTCTGCCCATAACCTGTGCCATTGTAAACCGAACACCCCCCCCACCCTCCGGCCCCGGCTCCCCGGGTGTCCCCGGGGAGGCTTTAAACATCAGGAGGGGCTTTTTCCGAGAGGTTTTGTAGCACATCATCGATTCGATCGTCTTCAATAACCACTAGAAAGCAGAAGAAAACCCCAGCGTAACCGTGGTGAATGCTCTGCTCCCCAAGCCCAAGGTCACCCCGCGGTGGTGGGCACCCTGGGGTGGGTTTTGGGGGTCCCATATCCCTGGTGTGATGGGTGGCAAAGCCAGCACAAAGCCTGACGTTTTGGGGGGGGTGCTTGGCGTGCTGTGTCCTGTCCCCAGGGAGGGTACCCAGTACCCAGCACAGTGCCTGGTGCCCTTCCTACAGCCCGGGGATGGTCCCCAGGGCATGGTGGCTTGTCCCCGAGAAAGGTCTCTTTACCCCTATGCCCTGGGGATTGTCCCCTGAACATGATGCCCTGTCCCTGGGGAAAACCCCTGCTGCCCTACAGCCCGGGACACTCTTCCATGTCTTAGGAAGGTCCTTGATGCCCGACACCCCGGGGAAGAGCCCTGGGGCACGGTGCCCGACACCTCGCAGGGACCCCGCTGCATCGTGCCTGTCCCTGGGGACAGTCCCCGGCGTCCTGTATTCCTGCGGAAGGTCCCTGGGACACGGTGCCCCGCACCCCATAGGTACCCAGCGCACAAGGTACCATCCCCAGGGATGCTCCCCGCTTCCCTTCATCGCGGGAAGGTCCCGGGGACGCGATGCCCGACACCCCGCGGGGTGCTCCCCACCCCAGGGGACGCCCCATCCCCTGCGAAACCCGTGCCCGCCGCCGCCCGTCCCCGCCGCACCCACCTCTCTTGCTGCGGCCGATCTGCCCCAGCTTGGGCGGCCGCTTGCCCTGCCCGCCGGCGAGGAGCCCGTCGGGGCCGCGGAGCCGAACGGGGAACGGCAGCTGCCCCACGGCCGCGTCCCCCGCCAGCTGCCCCTCGCCGTAGGGCGGCCCCTCCGACATAGGAGCGGCGGGGGGGGGGCCGCCGCCGCCGCCGCCCCCCGACAGCCTCCCGGGGCACGGGGCCCGCGGGCCCGGGGCAGCGGCGCAGCGGGGCGCGGGGCGGCCGCCCCGTCACATCCCGGCCGGGCCCGGCGCTGCTGGCGGCTCCGCGGCTGCGGCGGCGGCTCCGGCGGCGGCAGCGATAGAGGAGCGGGGGGCGGGACCGGGCGGGACGGGGCGGGAGAGGATCAGCCCCCGGGACCGGCCCCGGCACCGCCCCCGGTGGGCGACCCCTCGGGGTTCCCCCGGGGCTGCCCCACCGGAGCGTCCCGCAGAGTCCCGGGAGCGCGGAGCTGCCCCGCAGCATCCCCAGGGAGCCCGGAGCTGCCCCAGAGCATCCCCAAGGAGCCCGGAGCTGCCCCGCAGCATCCCCAGGGAGCCCGGAGCTGCCCCAGAGCATCCCCAAGGAGCCCGGAGCTGCCCCGCAGCATCCCCAAGGAGCCCGGAGCTGCCTCACAGTGTCCTTGTGGAGCCTTGAGCTGCCCTGCAGCATCCCTGAGGAGCCAGAAGCTGCCCCACAGCTCCGTCTGGGGAGCTCAGCGCCTGTCCCCAGGGAGTGTGGGCTCAGCCCCACATCTGCCCAGCAGAAATGAGCCATTGTGGGGCCACTGGCACTCCATGGGGGGCTGCAATGCATGGAGTCGGTCAGGGTTACGCGTGGCTGTGGGTCCCCAGGACGTGGCCCTACACAAGCTGCTCCTGGGGGATTGCCAAAGGGCTTTGGGGTTGCTGAGAACTTTCCAATGGACTTTTTCCTAGCAGTGCTGCCACAGCAGAGCAGCTCATTGTGGTTATTGCTCAGCAAAGGGCCAGTTTGGGGAAGACCAGGGTTATAGTTCTATACAGCCCCTATATATGGGGGTGGTGGGGGGCTGTTCTGGCATCCCTGGTGCATCCTCTGCAAAGCCGAGCTGTGGGCGCAGTGTGGAAGGCAGCAAAAAGCCCATTCCCACAGATTGGGTTACAACAACTCTGCTCATGGGTTACTTGGGAATCATGGAATGGTTTGGGTTCGAAAGGGCCTTAAGATCATCCAATTCCACCCCCCTGCCCTGGGCAGGGACACCGTGATATAACAAATACCGGGCTGTGCTTTCAATATAGGACTTGCAAGCGACTCGGATTGACGCTGAGCGGGACCCGGTCAGGATGGGGTGTCCCATGCCCAAGGACTGGGATGTGCTGCTCCCGTACCCAAACCCTGCGTTTCCTAAGCCCTCAGCTCCAGAAGCCCCTCTCCCGCACACCCCCGAGCTGTCAGCTCCTTACATAAGGTTGCGTCTCCGCCCGAGCTATCACGGGGGAAAGATGGAAATCGGAGGAGAAGGGGATGGGGAAAGCACAGCCCCCCCACAAGGGTATTTTTAGGCTCTGTGTGACAGTGACAGCTCCAATCCCCCGGCAAGGCGCTGAGGCCACATCCTGCCCCGCTCTGCTGTGGGGTGTGTGTCCATGTGTCCCTCACGCTGCTCCTGAGGAGAGGACGAGGCCGTTTGGGGTGGTTGGTCCCCAGGAACCACAGGGAGAAGAGGGAGGGCTTGGCCATCTGGATCCTGGCTTTTCCCATTGGGATTCTGGGTTTCTGGCGTGCAGGCAGCGCGCAGGCAGGCAGCCACCGCCATCTACAGCTGATGTTCCATGTGCTCTTCCCCCAGATCCTGGGGGTTTTGGATGTTCCTACTCCAGGCCCCTAAAACAGGGGCTGCCCACTTGGTGTTCAATCAAAACTTCAGTGCCCCCACAGCAAACACGAACTGGAGTGGCACACTGGGTTTGCTAACCCTCGTGGGTGCTGGCACTGCACGTGATTTGTGGCAAAACAAGGGATTTGGGAGTTTTCCTTTTGTGGATTCAGCGTTGCGGATAAGGGGCCAGGGGGGTTGGATTCAATGGGGGAGAAACAGGATCCCAATGCCAACCTTGATCACAGCTTGGGGTGATATCCCCTGCTCCAGGGCTCATCAGCACAGCCTCACCCTTGTAACGATCTGAGACAAACACGCTTTCGAGCCTATTTTATTCCTTTACACCCTATTTTGCTATCCCAGCTCAAGCCACAGTGTTTCCTCCCCATTCTTGTGTCCTGGTGCAATACAGTCCCAAACCAACATTGCAGATGATGGCAGAATCGCTTGTGTTCACACACAAATCCACTCCCTGGCACTGGGTGCCAGTGTGGCTCGAATTCTGCAGCCTCTGAGAATCCTCAATATGCTTTATTTCCCCCCACTATGTTTTATAATGCAGGTAAGGGCCTGTAGGTTTATGAAGCAGTCCAACTTCTAATGGAAGAGCTTCACTGTGTCTCCCAGCCAAGCACCAAGCCCGTTGTGAGGACTCATCTCTCCCCCCCCCACCTCTGGAGCACGATGTGAACCCCCATCAGCTGCACCATCACCTTTAAGCCCCGGCTCTGGCTCCCAAGTTGAAGCACCCGCTCACTCAAGCTCCCTCCCCTTCCCTAGACCCAAGCAGCAAGGTGAGAACACCCCTTTGTGAGAGGAGAAGAGCTCCCCCGCCCTGCAGGCACTGAATTTAACTGTTGTAGAGAGGAACCACCCTGGTGATGCCCTGCCGGCAGATGGGGCACCGCCGGGGCTCAGGCAGTGCCTGGTAGCACTCGTTGCAGGAGCACACGTGCCCACACTCCAGGAACACGCAGGATTTGGTGTTGCTCAAGCAGATGACACAGGCGTTTTTGAGTGTCTCTCCCCCCTCCACGTTCATTTCCCTCATGAGGCGCTCCTGGGCCTGCCGGAACTCATCCTGCATCTGCCTGAGGTGCTGCCGCTCGCGGTGGTGCTGGTATTGCTTCCGGAGGATGACAAAGAGGATGGCACAGGTAGCGAAGCCAAAAACCACAGTCAGGATTTTCCAGAACCGGACGCTGGATTCTTGCCTGTGGAGCAAGGAGTCAAAATCCATGGCGCTCAGGTAGTAGGGCATGCCCTGCTTCGGGGGCTGCAGCTTGATGGTGGCGTTATCCAGGACCAGCTCGCCCACCCCGGTCAGCGCCGTGCCCACCTTCAGCATCTGCTCTGTCTCCTGGATGCCCTTGGGGCGCTCCCCGCTGATGTAGTGGCCGATGACATCTGTGAAGGACTGGACAGAGGGGTGGAATTTCTCATACACCGTCTCCAGGCTGAGCTCAGCCGCATCCAGAGGCTTCATCACCCTCACGGTGATGCTGGGGGTGCCCTCCTCCACAGGCACCAGGTCAAAGGGAGTTGTGTTGGTTCTCTGGTGGATGATCTTCTCATAGTCGTTCCTGGAGAAGGGGATGAAGCAAAGGTGAGGGCTAGGGTGTCCCCAGAGGCCTGTTTTGGGGATTCACAGACATGATGATGATCCTCAGGGGGCTGGAGCACCTCCCATACAGAGGCAGGCTGAGAACATTGGGGCTGTTCAGCCTGGAGAAGACCTCAGCCTGCATGGAGACCTCAGAGCAGCTTCCAGATTCTGAAGGGGGCTACAAGGATGCTGGAGAGGGACTCTTCATCAGGGACTGGAGTGGTAGGACAAGGGGTGATGGGTTCAAACAAACAGGGGAAGTTCAGGTTGGAGATAAGGCAGAAGCTCTTCCCTGTGAGGGTGCTGAGGCACTGGCACAGGGTGCCCAGAGAAGCTGTGGCTGCCCCATCCCTGGCAGTGTTCAAGGCCAGGTTGGACACAGGGGCTTGGAACAAGCTGCTCTAGTGGAAGGGGTCCCTGCCTGTGGCAGGGGTTGGAGCTGGAGGAGCTTTAAGGTCCCTTCCAACCCAAACCAGGCTGGGATTCTGTGATTCTATGTTAGAAACTATGGCAGTGCCTGGGAACGGTCACGTAGGAATTAGGGCTGCTGTGGGTCCAGGTCTGAAGCACCTCCATCAGTCTGCCCATGTGTGATGGTATTTCAGTGTGTCAGACCTTCTGGGGCACTCTGGCTGCTGTGAAAGCTGAAGGTTTGTGTACACCGGGCACATACCAGAGGTGTGTTGTTCGGTTCCACACCATCTTGTGCTCCTGCAGCGTCAGCCGCTGCACGACGCCCTTGCAGTTCTCCACAAACTGGCTGCTCAGGGTCTCCTTCACAGACTGCACCACCCCTGAAAGAGAAACACAACATGTGTGTGTGAGCTGCTCCCCAACCGCACACGGGTACGGGCAGGATCTCAACACGACGGGGGGCACAAGAGCCAGGAGCCTGTGGAATGTGCTGTCCACAGCCAGTGCCCACCTGATAGAGGTAATATAGTCTGGGTTGGAAAGGACCTCAAAGCTCATCTAGCTCCAAGCCCCTGCCATGGGCAGGGACACCTTCCACTAGAGGAAGTGAAAGGGGGAGGATGTTCCCCTAACCCCCCTCCCCGTATAGGTATATATACACACACATATATATATACACACACACGCATATATATATACACATATATATATACACCCATATATATATACACCCATATATATATACCTGTGTAGCTGCATGCAGTAGGCCCTGCCCCTACCTTCGATGACCGCGTAGGGCACGCAGCGCCCTGGTGCTTCCAGCAGCACCGCCCGTAGGTCCCCGTCCAGCCGGACCCTCCTGGCGCCCTGCGGGGAGGGAAACGGAATCCGCGGCTCAGGCGGTGGGACCAGGCCGCGGCTCCGGCGGTGGGACCAGGCCGCGGCTCCGGCGGTGGGACCAGGCCGCGGCTCCGGCGGTGGGACCAGGCCGCGGCTCCGGCGGTGGGACCAGGCCGCGGCTCCGGCGGTGGGACCAGGCCGCGGCTCCGGCGGTGGGACCAGGCCGCGGCTCCGGCGGTGGGACCAGGCCGCGGCTCCGGCGGTGGGACCAGGCCGCGGCTCCGGCGACGGGACCAGGCCGCGGCTCCTGCCCGGGCCCGTGCGCTCTCCCGGGGACCCCCGTTACCCACCTCGAGGCCGCGGGCGATGCGGGCCCTGTGCCGGTACACGGAGCAGACGAGGGCGGTGAGCGCGGTGCTAGCAGCCAGCAGCGCGGCCTGCACCAGCGACGGCCGCCCGCCGCCCTCCATGGCCGCTGCTGTTACCCCGGCAACCGGCCGCGGGTGATGACGCACTCAGCGGCGCTCTGGAGGGTGACTCCACCATAGAGACGCTGGGTCCTCCACGGGCGGGGGGGGGGGGGAGGGCTCAGCTGGGGATGGAGTCGCAAAGTCCCCTACAAAAAGGGCCTTGTTTGGGGCGCCCAAAGCCCCGCCCCACAGCCCCATGGGGCCTGGAGGGGTCTGCCCCATATCCCGGCTCCCCAGCGTGTGGGGGGAGCAGGACAGATCCCCGCCCCGGTCTTGTAGGGGGGAACAAGCTCCATAAGCTCCAGCCCCACAAGGCCTGGATCCCATCAGGATCTTGGTACGGGGCCCAAATCCTAACACCCCGCCATGGCACTGGGGGAGAACCCCAGCGTGTCCTGCCCCCCTTCACCCCAAAGAGCCTGGGAGGGGGGAGAAAACCCAAATCCCACCCCCTGCAAAGCCTGGGGGGTGTCAGGCTAAAGCCCCCCTTCTCCTATGGGTCCAAACAGCAGCCCCATAGCACCCTGGGGAGCACCGTGGTGTGGCCCCCACCATAGCCCCAAAGTCCCCCCCATGTTGAAGCTGGGCATGGGATCTATCAGGAAGCAGCCCCCAGACCCATTTCAAAGGCTCTGTCTTGCACAGCCCATGCAGGATCCTTGCCAGCCCTGTGCTAGGGGAGGTGGGACACACACAGAGACCCTCCCCCCCCCCCCCCCAATCCCTTTGCTATTGCTTATTCTGGAAAAGCAGCAAAACAGGAGGAAAAAGCAGTGATTTGGGGTAAATGAATTGATCTTCAGGCCCTGGTGCTGCTTTTGGGGTGGGAGGTGGGGGCTGTGGGCAAACCCCACTCTGCAGTGGGGGTCCAAGGGGCCACCCCCCCCTTGCAGCCTTGTGCCACCCCCAGCTCTATATAGATATATAGATACATATATAAAAAAGCAAGTTGCCATGGCTACGGCGAGAGCTCTGCCAGCCTTGGTGCTGCAGGGAGGGTGCAGAGAGCGCTGGCTGCCCCCAGCCTGCTTTGGCTCGCCTTTGGAGGGGTAAATTCGGTTTAACCCCCCCATTTTCCTCGGTGCTGAGCTTAACTCTTCCTCTCCCATGGTGCAGGTGAGACACAGGCGCTGCTACACCGCAGAAAACACATGTTGGTTTATTATGGCCGCTGTGGAGGAGGCACGAGAGCAGGTTTGTGTGTGGGAATGGGGGGGTGCATCACACACACACACACACCCCCCCCCCCCCAAGGGCTCTGCCTTGCGAATGAAGCCGCTGTCTTGTCCACATCCATCCCCACGGGAGGTCCAGGTTCAGCCGGTCCCCGCCATGGGGTGTGCGTGGCTCAACACGCCATGGAGGCTGCAGCCCCGCATCTCCCTGGCCAGGCGCAGCACGGCCGCACGCTCAGCGCCGTCCCCCCGCGGTGCCCCGCTGCCGAAGGCCTCATCCTCCTCCTCCTCCAGGATGGAGCTGAGGCGCGGGGCGCAGCGGGTGCGTTCGGCCGGCGGGCGGTAGGGACACTTGGCGTTGAGCAACCGGCGCAGGGGCACCAAGGGCACGATGGCATCGCCCAGGAGCTGCTGCTGGACGTGGCGGAAGTCGTTCTGCCTCTTGAGCCGCTTGAACTCGTTGAAGGCGGACGAGGAGGTCTGGTAGAGGAGCAGGGCCATGGCACGTGCCTTGTCGGCCTTGGACACGAGGACGGCGTGGCACCGCAGCACCACCGCCTTGTTCTTCACTTGATGCCTGTAGACCCAAGCGAACACCTTGGGGTGCCGGCGGTCGGCGGCGCAGTAGGTGATGCGGTGCAGGAGGTACGCGTGGCCTGGCCGCCGGGCCCCCTTCTCGCACGGGCTCATGCGGATGCCTTGAGGTCCCAATGTCAGCTTCATCTTCACCCCGCCAGCTCCCGCGTCGCTCTTCGCCCAGATCTTGCCCACCGCCTCCTCCGTGCAGCCCTCGCCCTTGGCGTGCAGGGTGACGGCGTTGCCCAGGTACCTCACCGTGTACGTCGGGTCCTCTTTGTTCAGCTCCACTTTCTGGCGCTTGCCACGGAAGACGCTGCCCAGTCTCTCCAGCGGGCATTCGGGCAGGAGGTCCGGGCAGGAGCGCAGGAACCCGGCCAGCAGCGCAGCGTAGCTCAGCCCCGGCCCCAGGCTCTTGCTCTTGCACTTACGTTCGTTCTCCACCAGCACAAACTTGCTCCGGCGCCAGGGCAGCATCTCCGCTGTGCCGAGAGTCTCTCCACGCTCCTCCAATCCCGGCCGCAACAGTCCCCACCGACCTGCTTGCAAGCAGAGAGGGTCCCCCCGCAGCCCCCCCCCCCCCCTCCGCACCCCAAATCTGGTTTCTGGGGGGTTGTCCCAGCACCCCCCCACCCGTGTGTGTGTGTGTGTGTGTGTGTGTGTGTCAAGCCCCTACCCCAGCGGCGTGGGATGTGGATGCCGTTATCCCGGTGCCGTCTGCCCAGCGGAGGATGCGGAGACGCTGCTTCCTGCGCCTGCTGGTGGGATCGGCGGTTGCGGGGATGCAGCTCTCCGCGGGCTGCTCCACCTCCCCGCGTCGCCCCGGCCCCGAGGATGCGGGGAAACGCCGGGAAACGTCGGCAAACGTCCCCCTCCTCCCAGTGCGCGCCGCCGGACGCGCGCTCGCTCCGTGCTCGGGTAAGGAAACAGAGATGCTGGGAAATAACCACACTGCTCCCCGCATCCATGCAGCAGCCGGACCCCAGCGCCAGCTCCAGGGGGAAATCAGGGCAGGATGCAGGGGGTGATGTTGGGGAGGGTTGGATGTCAGCTTCTGGCCCTGGTATGAGGAAAGAGGGGGGGTTCTCCCCAGACCTGAGCGTTGCACAAGGGGTTTGCAGATCCTGAAGATTTGCTGGCATTTTTTCCTCCAGAAACCTCATTTTTTACCCCATTATACCCTAGCCAGCCAGACCTCCTCGCTGTTCCTCTTGGACCGAGCTTTTGGCTTTTCACTTGTTGCTTTTCACTCCATCTGAGGCCTTGGGACAGTTTTTCTCTGGAGAAAATGAAATGTTGGCCCACAGCACAGCCTAGGGGGGCTTTTGGGGGAGCTGTGTGGGGTTACCTGTGAGATTTCAACCCTACTGTGGAGCCTGAGGCTGTTCAGGGTTCAGCTCTTAGCTCAAACCCTGTTTTCTACCTATGGGGCTTCTTGTGGATGCAGCATGGAGACCCCTGGGCTTGGAGACACGCAAAGAATCCTTGGGATTGACACATGGGGAGGAGAAAGGGATAAACCAACAGGTTTAGTCCAGTTTAGTCTAGGTTTCCTTTTCCCTCCCAGGTTTTGGGGGCATCACACCACATGATGGGGCACAAGAGCATCTGTGGCCCATTTCAGTTGGGAAAACAACCAGGATTTGCACTTGGAAAGCTGAAAATAAGGCTCTGCACTGATTCAGGGCTGCCAAATCCTCTTCTAGCTGCCTGTTGCCTACCCTTGCAAGTAGCTAACTGTTGTCATTAGGTTTCAGGTTGAAGAGTGTGCAGAAGGTGGGTTGTACCGTTATCCCATGGAACAATACTGATCTCAGTGTCCCAGATTTGATTTCTTGGGGTTCCTGTGTCCTCTCACTGTCCCACACTCCATTCTCAGCTCAAGGCATTTGTACCACACCAGAGACTGCTGCCAATTCAGTTTCATGTCCCAGCCTGTCGTGGCTTGTCAACAGCAACCCAGCACCAAGATTTGCTCCCAAAACCGTCAGGGAAGGTCAAAATCCTCCCCAAATCCAGCAAACTGGACAAAACCTGCAGTAATAAATCAGTGAGGGCTGGAATACCCATTTGTGCAGCCAGAAAATGGGGCAAGAAGCTCCTCCAGCAAGGGAGAGGAAGAGATATCTTTAATTAAAGAGCAATTTGCTGATCAGCCCAGCATCCTGGGAGCGCTTTACCCCACAGGGGCTGATTCCCATGGAAGCACCAGCAGAACTGGGGCTGAGGGTATCCCAAAATGGGTTTTATCAGCTCTACCTTCAGCCAGCTTTCCCTGCTGCCTGGTAGTGGTAGTTAAAAGAAGTGGGAATACGTGGTATATATATATATATATATATATATATATATATTCCTTCTGTTTTCTATTGAATGAATATATTTCTTTTGATCTCACCAATCAGGACCTGTTGTTTCTTCTCCCCCAGGGGTGATTTAATGACAATTTCGCTGTGAAGCAGCACAACCAGTTTTCAACTGGGAATGAAAGGAAAACAACACATTGAGGCAGCGGCAGTGGGAAAACGCTCCTCTGGGATGGAGAAAGGAGGAGGTACGAAAGGGACAAAGTGGAAAGCATGAGGCAGCAGATGGGGCGGGGACAGGGGACACCCTGAGCGTGATGCTTGGGGGGTCAGGGCTGTCCCTAGGGATGCTCCCCATGGTTCACTGCCGGGGCGTTATCCCGGCAGTGCTGCCCAACCTATTTTCCAGGCGAGGAAATATTTAACCACGGCGTCAGCGGGCAGGGCAGGCAGGGGCAGGAATGGAAGGTGACAGGCAGCACCCAGCCCCTGCTGCTCCCCCGACAGAGCACCTACAGCTCCTGCTGCGCCGCAGCCGGGAGGCCAAGAGCTGCGCTTACTGCCCCTACAGCCGGTTCCCGGTGGGCGCCGCGCTGCTCACAGCCAGTGGGGAGATCTTCTCCGGTAAGCTGAGGCTTGTGAACCCCCTCCTTGTGTTTTGGGGTCCCTTTAGCTATGCATGGCGTGTAGAGGGGTTGGTGTGAGGTGCTGCACCTCCCCGAGTGGCCTCTTTGGCAGTCGCCACCCCAGAGTGAGCCAAAGATTGCAGTGCATGGGAAAAGAGGGGAATGTGTTGGGAACAGCCCAGGATGGGGTGTTGCACACTAAAAATGATGGGGTTTTTTTTTGCACATTCACTAATAAACAGCTCACTTGGAGCGTTTTGGGGTGGCTGAGTGGGTGCTGGGGGCTTCCCCACAGGGTGCAACGTGGAGAACGCCTGCTACAGCCTCGGGGTGTGCGCTGAGCGCACTGCCATCCAGAAAGCCATCTCCGAGGGGCACACCAGCTTCAGGGCCATGGCCATTGCCAGGTAAGGGCACAGGGAGGGAGGGGAATGGGGGGGGGTGTGGGGGTGTGGGAAGTGAGAAAACCTTTCATGCACCCAACGGGCAGCTTCTGCTGCAGCGACCCCAGTGTTCTGCTGGGGGGATATAGGTTTCTGCATGGTTATTTTGGAGGAAATGGGGGCAAATGTGCTGTAGCTCTGTATTTTTTGGTGCAGGAAGGTCTTCTGCAGGTGTTCCCCCCCTACCTCTGATCATAAGACTGAGCTCTGTGCCATTCTCCTTTGGCAGTGACATGGGGGACACCTTCATCGTACCTTGTGGTGCCTGCAGACAAGTGATGAGAGAGGTGACAGCGCATGCGGGGGTCTCGTATCTCATCCCCTGACCCAAGGAATCTCCCCCTAAACCACCCCGAGGTGCAAACATGGGGGTTGCAACCCCCTGTCCCCAGCCCCAGGCTCCTGAAACTGCACATTCCTCTGGGAAAAGGGTTTTCCTCCCTGTCCCTTGGGAGCGGGTGCCCAGGGTAATCCATTAACTCACCCTTCCCAGTTGGTTTATTCCTGCTGGGAGATCCACGTGCAGAGTTTAGCTCCGGAGCTGTTGCCATGACTTTGGCAAGCCTGAAAATGAGGGTTTTCCTGCAAAAGCCAAGCTCCAAGTGGAGCCCATCCTACTCTCACCTCACTCCTCCCCGCAGGCACCCCGGCCCCTGCAGCCCATTTTGGGATGGTTAATATTTAATGGGTGGCAGGGCTCAGAGTGAAGACCAGATTCAGCAGGTTTGAAGGAATCAGGGCTCACCCTGAGGGGGAAAACCCACACATTGTGAGCCCAAAATACCCCCTGCGGGAGGTGATGCTGAAAAGCTGACCCAAAACACATGCAATAGAGGGAGATGCTCCCTGTGGAGGTGGCCAAAAAGGCCTCTAGAGCAAGCTGCTCTAGTGAAAGGTGTCCCTGCCCATGGCAGGGGCTGGAACTGGATGAGTTTTAAGGTCCCTTCCAACCCATTCTATGATTCTATGGTTGTTTGGGTAATTTGAAGAAGAAATGGAGGTTTTGCACAGGCTCTTCTCCCCTCTCTTCCCCTCCAGTTTGGCACAGATTGGGATGTCTACCTGACCAAAGCAGACGGCAGCTACATTGTCAAGAGGCTGGAGGAGCTGCTGCCGCTCTCCTTCGGCCCTGAGGACCTGAAGAAGGTGTGAGCAGTGTGGCTGCAGCAGCCGTGGCTCTTTGGCAGCAGGGGAGGATGGTTTTTCCCCAATTGCCTGGTGTGTAAGCAGCTTTTTGGGGACAATGCGGTGGGAAATGCATTTACAGTGTTAAATTAACCATTCCTCTCATCTTCTGATTCAGCACTGAACAAGTGAAATCAAGCTGTAGAAATACCCTGTTATTAGGAAAGAAAAGTGTCCAGGTACTGCTGCAGGTGAGGGGGTAGTTCACAGACAGAGAAGAGTTTGATGCACAGCTCAGGCTTGGGCTTGTTGGTACAGAAACCACTCCTAAATTGTGCAAAGTCATTGTAGCGGAAAAATGCTGAATGTTTCAGCTCCAAAGGAGAAGGGAAAGCAAAAAGGAAAGGCTCCATCAACCCTGGCAGTTATTAATAAGCCAGTTCAGATTAGGTGACATGCTGGAACTGGTTATCACACTGAGTGTGTCCTTTGCTCGCTTCTCTCCAGCTTGTTTTCTTTGCCTTTATTCAGTTGTGGGAATGAAGAGGGAAAGGAGGTTTTGAGGGCTTTGGGAGGGTTTTCCATCTCCAGACTAATGCTGTTTTCTGATTGTACTATTAATTGAATCATGCACAGTGACAAATGAATGTGTTACGGCTCCCAGCCAGCACTCTGCCCATGCCCAAGTGAAATAAAAGCAGTCCTGGTTTATCTCCTGTGGTTGCAACCAATGGTGAATCACAGGGCAGGGGAAACGGGTGCCTTGGCAGAGCAGGAGGGTGCTGGTGCTGCAGGCAGGACATGGCCAGGACACTGCATGGCCCAGTGTGGCCAGGCCAATGCTGTCCACACAGCCAAGGCCCTCCTGCCCTCCCCTGCATGGACCATGCCCAGCTCTGACCTGGGATATGAGGGTGCTGAGGTGCTGGCACAGGGTGCCCAGAGAAGCTGTGGCTGCCCCATCCCTGGCAGTGTTCAAGGCCAGGTTGGACACAGGGGCTTGGAGCAAGCTGCTCTAGTGGAAGGGGTCCCTGCCCGTGGCAGGGGTTGGAGCTGGATGAGCTTTAAGGTCCCTTCCAACACAAACCACTGTGATTCTATGTGCCCAGCCTTGCACCGGGCTCTGCCCAGGGCAGGGCTCTGCTCCGTGATGTCCTGTGCACCGGGCTGTGCTCAAGCTGTGCCCGGGGCAGTGCTGTGCTCCTTGCCCTGCCGAGCACCGGGCTGTGCCGAGCACAAGGCACACCCAGCTTGTCCTGGATGCACCAGGCTGCAATCGGCTCCGCGCCCTGCCGGGCCCGGGCTGTGCCCAGGAGAGTGTGCAGGTGGTGCCCTGCTCTGTGCCCCTCTCCATGTCCTGCTCCATGCCCCACTCTATCCTGCTCCATGCCCTGCTCCATGTCCCTCTCCATCCTGCTCCATGCCCCGCTCCATCCTGCTCTGTGCCCCTCTCCATGTCCTGCTCCATGCCCCACTCTATCCTGCTCCATGCCCTGCTCCATGTCCCTCTCCATCCTGCTCCATGCCCCGCTCCATCCTGCTCTGTGCCCCTCTCCATGTCCTGCTCCATGCCCCACTCTATCCTGCTCCATGCCCCTCTCCATCCTGCTCCATGCCCCGCTCCATCCTGCTCCATGCCCTGCTCTATCCCGCCCCTCGCCCCGCCCCCTCGCCCCGCCCCCTCGCCCCGCCCCCTCGCCCCGCCCCTCGCCCCGCCCCTCGCCCCGCCCCTCGCCCCGCCCCTCGCCCCGCCCCTCGCCCCGCCCCTCGCCCCGCCCCTCGCCCCGCCCCTCGCCCCGCCCCTCGCCCCGCCCCTCGCCCCGCCCCTCGCCCCGCCCTCGCCCGGCCCCTCTCAGTGCCGCAGCCATGGCGGTTCGGCTCCTCTTAGCCCGCGCCCTGCGGCTGTTCCCTCGCTGCCGCCTGCGCTGCGCCCCACGCCCGGACCCGCGCCCCGAGCCCCGCTCCGTTCCGTCCCCATCCCCATCCCCGTCCCCGTGGCGGCCGTGGCTGTCCTGGCTCCCCGCCGCCCGCCGCCTGCTGCTGCCCGGCCCGGCCCGCGGGCTGGCGGGCGCGGCGCTGCGGGGCCGCGGCGGGGCCTGCCTGGCGCTGGCCATGGCGCTGGGGCTGGTGGAGCCGCGTCTGGAGGAGCAGCGGCGGGCAGAGGCGGCCTGCAGGCACATCCAGGTGCGGGGAGCAGGGGCTGCGCGGCCCGGAGCGGAGCACAGTGGGGGCAGTGGGGGGCAGCGCTGTGGGGAGCCCCATAGACACCCCTCATGGAGGGCAATGGGGGTCGGCGCTGTGGGGGGTCCCACAGACACCCCTCATGGAGGGCAATGGGGGGCAGTGCTGTGGGGAGCCCCACAGACACCCCTCATGGAGGGCAATGGGGGTCAGTGCTGGGGGGGGGTCCCACAGACACCCCTCATGGAGGGCAGTGGGGGGGCAGCACTGTGGGGAGCCCCATAGACACCCCTCATGGAGGGCAATGGGGGCAGTGCTGTGGGGAGCCCCACAGACACCCCTCATGGAGGGCAATGGGGGCAGTGCTGTGGGGAGCCCCACAGACACCCCTCATGGAGGGCAATGGGGGCAGTGCTGTGGGGAGCCCCATAGACACCCCTCATGGAGGGCAATGGGGGCAGTGCTGTGGGGAGCCCCACAGACACCCCTCATGGAGGGCAATGGGGGCAGTGCTGTGGGGAGCCCCATAGACACCCCTCATGGAGGGCAATGGGGGCAGTGCTGTGGGGAGCCCCACAGACACCCCTCATGGAGGGCAATGGGGGCAGTGCTGTGGGGAGCCCCACAGACACCCCTCATGGAGGGCAATGGGGGGTCAGTGCTGTGGGGAGCCCCAAAGACACCCCTCATGGAGGGCAATGGGGGCAGTGCTGTGGGGGGTCCCACAGACACCCCTCATGGAGGGCAATGGGGGCAGTGCTGTGGGGAGCCCCACAGACACCCCTCATGGAGGGCAATGGGGGTCAGTGCTGTGGGGGGTCCCACAGACACCCCTCATAGAGGGCAATGGGGGGGCAGCACTGTGGGGAGCCCCACAGACACCCCTCATGGAGGGCAATGGGGGGCAATGCTGTGGGGGGGTCCCACAGACACCCCTCATGGAGGGCAATGGGGGGCAGTGCTGTGGGGAGCCCCACAGACACCCCTCATGGAGGGCAATGGGGGGCAGTGCTGTGGGGAGCCCCACAGACACCCTTCATGGAGGGCAATGGGGGCAGTGCTGTGGGGGGTCCCACAGACACCCCTCATGGAGGGCAGTGGGGGGGCAGCACTGTGGGGAGCCCCACAGACACCCCTCATGGAGGGCAATGGGGGTCAGTGCTGTGGGGAGCCCCACAGACACCCCTCATGGAGGGCAGTGAGGGGCAGCGCTGTGGGGGGTCCCACAGACACCCCTCATGGAGGGCAATGGGGGTCAGTGCTGTGGGGAGCCCCACAGACACCCCTCATGGAGGGCAATGGGGGTCAGTGCTGTGGGGAGCCCCACAGACACCCCTCATGGAGGGCAATGGGGGTCAGTGCTGTGGGGAGCCCCACAGACACCCCTCATGGAGGGCAATGGGGGGGTCAACGCTTTGGGGAGCCCCACAGACGCCCCATAAACCAGGGTACCTGGAAAACCTCCCTGTCAGCAGCACTAAAGGTGGTGCTGGAGGATCCTCACTGTGGGGACCCACTTGCTCCCTGTCCCCCACAAAGGGAGGGAGTCCTGGCCCTGGTGATGGATGTCTCGTGTCCCAGAGGCTGGTGCTGAGCCCTCAGGTTTGTCCCCTCTTCCTGAGGCAGGCGGTGCTGGCAGGGCACCAGGACGGATGATGCTGATCAGATTTCATGGGTAAAAATAGACCTTTGGTGCTGGGAGCCAGCGCTCACTGCTAGCCAGGGACCAGCACGTTCCTGCTGAGGATCTGCCTCTCCCTCAGGTTTCCCAGGATGCTTTCCCTCCCCTGCCCCTGCTGGGCAGTTACATTTGCTGTCTTCCCCTTCCACTGCCCCTCCTGGGGCACATTCCTCAGCCAGCCACTGCAGGTGACAGCTCTGGCACCACCAGACCTGTAGGGCTGTGACTGCTCTGTGCTCTCCTGTGCTTTGTTCTCTCACATCTTCTTGTGCCCATCCCATCCCTGGCAGTGCTCAAGGCCAGGTTGGACACAGGGGTTTGGAGCAAGCTGCTCTAGTGGAAGGGGTCCCTGCCTGTGGCAGGGGGATGGACCTGGATGAGCTTTGAGGTCCCTTCCAACCCAAACTGTTCCATGATTCCATGATTTAGGCTTGCCTCTACCAAACATATTTATATGCTAGATTAGGAGGTGAATTCTCCTCCCATTCCTCCTTTTCCTGTGCATCCTCAGCACCCTTGGAAAGGGCACCTTTGGTAAAGACTGTTTTAGGGGTTGTTTCAGACAAAAATACATGGTCTGCTCATTATTTTCTCTCTGGTTACAGTGATTTGAACCTCATGATTAGAGCCTGATAATGGCTTTGCAGGTTTGTCCAACCCAACAGGATGCAAGATACTGCTTCACCAGCAGGAGAGTTCCCCTTCCCTAGGGGTTCTTGAATAACCAAGCAGGGTTTTTATCATTTCTTCCTCCCCTCAGACCGTGTTTGTTGGGAAGAACAAGCCACAGAAAGATCCCCTGAGCTGCTTCCGCTGGCAGGGCTTCAAGCTGGAGGAATATCTCATCGGCCAGCCCATCGGGAAGGGCTGCAGCGCCGCCGTGTATGAAGCAGCTATTCCTTTCTCCCACCGTGGTCAGGGCTGTGTGGAGAGCGGGCGCCTCGCAGGGCATGGCTCAGCTTCACAGGCACCAGAAGAGGAGCCCGTAGTGAAACGCCAACCGAAGGAGGCTTTTCCATTAGCCATCAAAATGATGTGGAACATTTCGGTAAGGAGTCGGTGCCTCGTCTGTCACTGGGGAAGTCTGGAACGTTTAACGCTGAAGTGTTGAAAGTGCTAATTATGTAGTGCACGATGAGCATGTCAAAACAAAGCTGTTGATAAGTGACGCTGGAGAGTCCATTGTGGTGAGCAATCCCAGAGCAGGGTAATTAAGCATTCATCATTCCTCTGGGATCAGCATCGAGAGCTGCTGCTGGTGGAGTTGTTGGTTATGGAGGTGATGGATTTGGGAGGAAGCTTTTCTGGAGCTGGCTGTAATGGTAAGGGGTAAGGTTGGGAAAGCCACTGCTGCCACTGCTTCAGGAATCAGTGTCCTTGTCGTTGTCAGGACAGAGAGAGGTTTTTCTTCTGCCAAGTGCAGCTGAGTGAGGCTGTAGTCAGGGCGTGGGTCAGTAACCTGCACGCTGGCTCCCTTGGCCATGAAGTGGGTGCATGAGATCTGTGCTCACGTTTCCCAGCCCGCGTGGCTCTGGTGATCCAGCTCCTCAGTGTGGCTGTTCCCCATTTCACAAGCTCCATGTGGCTTTTCCCATGGGAGAGGTTTCACAGCACTTGATGCGACAATTCTAAGAGAGTCTTCCAAAACACCAATGTTTGCAGTCCCTTGGGCTCCAAAAGTGCCCTGGCATTTAGCTGTGGGCTTTTCAGTCAGGTTTTGAAGCTAAAAGTGAGCGTTAGCATGCAGCTAACAGCCAAGGATGCATTCGAAGAGACAGCTGGATTTCTTCACACAAGTAAAGGCTTTGCCACATTCCTTGGTAAATGCTTTAAGCAGTTAGTTGCCTTCCCTGATTGCGAAGTAGGGCAGTCCCTTCAGTCTCATCTAACTGCAGATACAGCACCAGCATCAGGATTGTCTGCTTTCTGTCTCTATTGAGTCTGGGTGGTTTTAGAGCTTAAACCAGTGTGATGTGTAATTGCTGTTGCAGGCTGGTTCCTCAAGCGAAGCCATCCTTGATGCTATGGGCCGAGAGCTTGTTCCAGCCACAGGGGTTGCCTTAGCTGGAGAGTACGGAGCCATCCCTGGCCGCAGGTACAGTGGCTATGGAAAAGGCAGATGGTGACATGCTAGTTCATTTTGCAGCACATCTGTGGTGTTAAGATGGCCACAGGTTTCTAGAATAGCTCCTGAAAGTAGATAAACCCAAAGGGTTATGGTTGGGCTTGATGATCTTAAAGGGCTTTTTCAATCTTGACAGCACCTCAAACATCACTCAGGAATGGGGCTGCCTCGGGGCTTTTCCTCTGGTGTGCCTGTCTCCAGCAGAGTTAGGAAACCACACACAGCAGTTCTGCTGTTCAAATAGTGATTTAGCACAGCCCTCTTTACTCTGAGGAGCAGACTGTGGCACGGTGTGTGGTGTGTGGGGAGTACTTACAGTTAAAGTACACTGGCTTGGGTGATGTAGTCCAGGAGGGTGTTGGGCAGGTGTGCCAATAACTGGGGACCAACAGGGGACCTGCCAGTGGTCTGATGGGTGACTGGGGCCAGACACTACCGTGCCCTGTGCTTCAGTTTCTCCATATGCAAAGTGCATATTAAGCATCAAACCATTGACTGTATTACTTTAGAAGTGGTTTGCTTGTAAAATGTGTGCTGGGCAGGAAGGCTGAAACTTGTAGCGCAGGGAAGGTGGTGAGGAAGAAGGTGGGAAATGAGTCTGCTCTCTCTTTCACCTGGATGAGAAGCGAGCAGGCAGCATGAAGGTGGGAAACTGCACAGAAGCTTTTAAATGACCCCGAGTTAGCTGTCTGCTTGTTCAAAAATGCATCTTTGTGTTCAGTGAGAAACAGTGGAGTCCTCAGTCCAGATTGTCCCATTTACATTTCAAATCCATCTCAGCTGCCAACACGTCAGTGGCACGGCGCTAGCTGAGAACACCACAGAGCAGCCAAAGGGCTGTTTGACATTCAGGGAACAAGAGGGGAGAGGGATCTGTTTTGCAGACACAGATAGGTAATCTGCCTTTCATTGTAGTGGGTGCTTCCTGCCTGTGCCATAGAATAGTCTGAATTGATAATGCCCAATGTAAAGCTGACCTTTATTTGATATCTACTAAAGTAATTGTGCTGATTTTTCTTCTCTGAAGCTGTTGTTGTAGTTCTTTTTGAAGCAGGAAGCAGCTCTGCCTTTATTAGCAGCATGGAAGGGCTGCTAGGGTTTGAGTAAAATGAAAGGCTGCATGGTAAGTAAGGGTTAGTTTGCAGCACTGGTAAAGCACCACTGTTTCCCATTTGGCCTTTGTATATAGGGAAATCCAGTTATGGCAGAGCCCTACTAACAGCCACCAGTGGTGCTGGGACCTGCCCACTGCTGTGGTGGATCTGCTTTGCATCAGCATGGGAAACCAGTTAGGAAATGGGCCGTGAGGGCAGGGAGGTTCCTGTCCCTGTTGTTTCTGAGTGGTTTCCAGGATGTGAACCTTTGAGTATGTGCTTAATGTGCAGTCCTGTAATCTGCACTGGGCAGCCCTAATGCTCTCTCTAAGAAGGATTTCAGTGCAGAATAAACATGTTTGCACACTACTTTGGAGCTCTTTGATGGGGAGGATGGGACTTGTTAATGAAAAGTAATTGCAGAAACAGCAGAGCTGTGTCTGATAAATCAGAGCTGACTGGGAGACCGATGGTATCTGCACTTGTGCACAGGAAACCCATCCTTGGAAGGAAGAAGTTGCAACCTCATCCCAATATAATCCAGGTGATCCGAGCATTCACCTCCTCTGTCCCTTTGCTGCCTGGAGCCTTTGCAGACTATCCTGATGTTCTTCCATTAAGCCTGAATCCCAGAGGGATCGGTCACAGCCGCACGCTCTTCCTGGTGATGAAGAAGTAGGTACAGAGCAGCTTGTTAATGTGACTCAGGCTTTTTGTGAGACTCTCTGTTCTGCTGCTGCTGCATGGGTCCTTGCAAAAGGTTGCTCTGGGCTGCTGCCAAAAAGCAGAGTGCTCTTGGAAACACCTCCTGTGACCTGTTCCAAGTCCTTGAGATGTGAACTCCTGTTCGACAATGAAAACAAGCTGTTCTTTTTGATAATCACCCCAAATTAAAGTGAGAAATGTGCAGCCTGTCCCCATTTGTCTGCCCTTCTGAGGCTGAATTTCACCCCTGGTCTGAACACACCACTAGAGACAGAGCAGAATCATTGATGAGATTTATGAGTGCTCTGTGGCTTGGCTTTCTCTGTTGGGTTTTGGTTTTGAATAGGTATTGCAGTGGCATGACCTAAAAGCACCTTCTGTTTCCCACTCTTGTTCTGCTGTGTCTGGAGAAGCACTCTGTCCTCTCTGTTCCGTGTTCTTTCTCCCGATGCATTTTGCTCATACAAGCTGCATTATCAATCTGCCTCCTCTTTCATGTGGAAGAGAACACCACTGCATAAAAACCTGCAAGAGTGACCACTGTGTACCCCGAGTCCCTGTTCAAGAGGCTCCTTTTATTCATGGCTGTTGAGCTCGGTGGTGGGTGTTGGTGCAAAACAGAGGGTTTAAGAGCAGCAGGCAGGGGGTTGGAACTGAATGATCTTAAGTTGCTTTCCAACCCTAACTGTTCTATGATTCTGTGACAGGGATGTGGTGTCAGGGTGATGCTGGGAGGTGGGAAGGCATTGTGGAGGTCAGCAGGAATTTGGCCCATATAAGTGCTGTATTCCCAGCCAGTCAGCACTCAAGACTACAAGCTGTAAGCTTCCAGGATGCTAATTCCAAGCTTTTCCTTGTTCTCACTAGTTATCCCTGCACTCTGCGCCAGTATCTGGAGGAGAACAGCCCAGATGTTTGTCTCTCCACGATGATGATTTTACAGCTCTTGGAAGGTGTGGACCATCTTGTTCGCCATGGAATAGCACACAGAGACCTGAAGTCTGACAACATCCTGGTTGAATTTGATTCTGGTATGTAGTCAAATGCCAGCAAAGTCAGGCACAGAACTGCTGTATTTGTGAAGGTGTTCAGGGACGTTCTACCCAGGTTTGGGGGAAGAACAAGCATCAAACCCTTTGAAGAGTCTCAGGTTTGGTTTTTAGCTTACTGCTTGCTGTCACTGCAGCACTGGGGACCTCGTTGATAGATGACTGTCTGTGCCTCAGGTTTTGGATCATTAAAACAGGCTTGAAAGGAACGTTGTGCTATAATCAGGTGGAGAGATGCAGCATATTGCTGAGGTGATCCACTTCACAACACAGTGAACCAGCAGATGGGTGTAGAGTAACAGTGCATTTGTGATGCTGAAGATGCCTTTGCTCAGGCTCTTGACTCTCGCTAGCTGAATCACACAGGGCAAAGCTTAAAATCTCACCTCATGGTGACGTTATGGGATGGTGGGACATGGGATGGAAGGGAAAGGGACCAGCAGTGTCAAAGTCAAAAGCAGCTGGAGAGGGACTTTTCATCAGGGACCGTAGTGATAGGACAAGGGGTGATGGGTTCAAACTGACAGAGGGGAGGTTCAGGCTGGAGATATGGCACAAATTCTTCCCTGTGAGGGTGCTGAGGCGCTGGCACAGGGTGCCCAGAGAAGCTGTGGCTGCCCCATCCCTGGCAGTGTTCAAGGCCAGGTTGGACACAGGGGTTGGAGCAAGCTGCTCTTTTAAAGGTGTCCCTGCCTGTGGCAGGTACCACCATGTCCTCCCAAAACAGATGCTGACTCTGCTCCCCTGTGTCATTTGCAGCTGGCTGCCCCTGGCTGGTGATCACAGACTTTGGTTGCTGTTTGGCAGATGAAAACATCGGCTTGAGACTGCCTTTCACCAGCTCTTACGTGGATCGGGGCGGCAACGGCTGTCTTATGGCACCCGAGGTACATCCCCCTTGGAGCAGTGGTTTGTGTTGTTGCTTGTCCTGCTGTCAGGATGGAAAGCTCCAGCCTGTGGTGCAGGCTGTGACTGGAACTTGAAAAAGGGTGGGATTAAGTCTAAAAGGGCAGAGGGGACGCATGCACATTGCTTTGCTGGGGTTTGTCCCTGAGCCTTCCCCTGTGTGTGCACACCAATGCTCTCTGGTGTGTTCCCATGATACCTCCTGAAAGCCTCTCCTGTCAGATCGATTTTATGCCTGTTCCTCCTTATTGACATAACTTGGTCATGCAAGGATAACCTCATGCTGGTTACTGCATAGCTAATGTCACCCACGGCGAGCAGCATCCCCTTGGGCAGCGTAGGAGGTCTGTGTCTTGAGTTATGCTTGCTAAACTTCTCTGCATTAAGGAAGGAGGTCCTCTTCAGACCCGTGCTGAGCAGTTGTGGATCTGACACCTTGAACTCTAAGGTGTGAAACGTAACCACTGTTAGAAGCAGAATTGACCTGTCCCACAGAAAGTTTGCTTTTTGCTCAGGGCCTTTCCTGTGTAGCTGCTGAAGAAGTTTATGCAGATAAACTCCTTGTGTTGCAGCAGTAGTTTTTGGGTGAAGTTCAGGTGGTTGTGAACTTATTTATTGTTGTCTTTGTTCTCTGATAGTGACCCTAAGAAAAGCTAAGACACCCTTAACTGTCTGCTTAACCTGCTCTTGCTTAGGTGCTGGTGCAGTTCATCTGCCTGTCGCCTGCCTGTCTGAAATCCCAGGGTGAAACAGCCCTTGGGAATGCTGGTCAGGAGCGATGACTGAAGCCTTGGTGCAGTGGCCAGATTCCTCCCAGTGTCCCCGTAGTCTGAGCAATGCCAAAGGCTGTGGGCATGCCTAAAGGAATATTTAGACCAGAGATTTAGATGAAAACAGCTTTGGGTTCAGTCTCTCTCGGTTTGTTACAGTGGGAATGCTGAGTGAAGCCTTGGAAATCAGTGTTAGCACAGAGCCCACACTAGAGCTGTTTGTCTGAACTCCCCCATCTCTGTGGCAGGTGATCACAGCCTCGCCTGGTCCAGGCACAGTGATCAACTACAGCAAATCTGATGCTTGGGCTGTTGGAGCCATCGCCTATGAAATCCTTGGCCTGGCCAATCCTTTCTATGGCCACGGGGCCTCGGCTCTGGAAAGTAGGAGCTACCATGAAGATCAGCTGCCCAGCCTGCCTGACCATGTGCCCCTCGAGGTGAAGCAAGTGATAAAGATGCTGCTTCGGAGGGATCCCAACAAGGTAAGAAGATGTCTTGAAGACCTCTGTCATCTGACTGTAGATTACTTCACCATGGAGGGCTACAGATTCAGGGGGCTGTAATCCAGATGTCACTGCAGTCTGGGTAACAAGAAAGACAAGCAAAAAGTCTTTGCTGCTGTGCCACTGCACATCAAAGATGTCCCTGAGTAGGTTCAGTGACAGGCCAAGGGGAATGGCTTTAACCTGCCAGAGGGGAGACTGAGATGAGCTCTTAGGCAGAAGCTCTTCCCTGTGAGGGTGCTGAGGCGCTGGCACAGGGTGCCCAGAGAAGCTGTGGCTGCCCCATCCCTGGCAGTGTTCAAGGCCAGGTTGGACACAGGGGCTTGGAGCAAGCTGCTCTAGTGGAAGGGGTCCCTGTCTGTGGCAGGGGTTGGAGCTGGAGGAGCTTTAAGGTCCCTTCCAACCCAAACCAGGCTGTGATTCCAGTGGATTTTTGTGTTGGGGAACTGGTGGGGTCCGTGCAGCTGCCCAATAGACACAAGGAGCTTTTCAATTCATAGGACTGATGCCTTAGAGGAGGCCTGGGGCTCTTTGGGCAGCGTGGGTGTTACATGGGAGCGCAGCAGGAGCAGCTCATCCTCCCTCTCCCTCCTTTTGCAGAGACTCTCTGCCAGGGTTGCTGCCAACGTGCTTCACTTGAGCCTCTGGGGTGAAAGCATCCTGGCCACGCAGGCCCTGAAACCCGACCAGATGGTCACTTGGCTCCTGTGCCAGTCTGCAGCCACCCTGCTCACGGAGGGGCTGGTGGGTAAAAGCCTGGTGGAAACCAAGATGAAGATGTGCTTTCTGGCAAACCTCGAGTATGAAGAGCTCTGGGCAGCTGCATTCCTGCTGCTGGCCTGGAGGAGCCGCTCTGAGTGCAGCACAAGCCCGTGATAAATGGTTCTGTTTGGGCACATGGGAGTCTGTCTTTTCTGCCTGCCTGGAATCCTGCAGCACTCTAGGGAACAAACCTGCAGGCCCGTGTGTAAGACGTTGAGTTTCTCTCCAGCATTAGCACACACTGCTTTTCTGTCCTGCTAGAGGAAATGCCTTTGCTTCATTACTGTCTTGGTGTGAGGCTGTGCAGACCTTGCAGGTGTCCTGAGGTTCGTGGTTGGGGTTGATCACATTTGGGGATTCTGAGTTGACTTCCAAGTTGTGTGTTGAATGAAGAAGAGGGTGTGTGGGGAGGAGGCACTGTCTAACTGCTCTTTCCACTGAAGCATCACAGAGACAATACCTGGAGAAAGCCAAGCCGGCAAAGGGATGTGTGAACTCTGTCCTTAGGGCAAAGGGATATGTGAACTCTGTCCTTAGGGAATCCAGTGGCGCCCTGAGGGTGCTGTTCCTCTGCAGCCACAGATGGCTCTTGCTGTGGAGTGCCAGCCAAAGCCTCCTAGTGAGGTGCTGTCTGGTAACAAGTGTCAGGAATGCTCACTGCAGACAAGAGCACACCATGAAACCCCCCTGGAGTTGTATGTGAAGCGCATTGAGCTCAAACCCCACTGAGGTTTGTGTCTTGACTGGTGTAGCCGAGTCAGGCTGTCAAGGTAGGGATAACACTGCATTAAAATGGGGCTGAGCAGTGGTGCCTGCGTAAAGAACCACAGCGTAACTCTCTTCTGTTTTACTGACCTGGTTTTCAGTGATGTGATACCCTTTGGTTGGGGAGGACACATCAAGGTTTGAACAACAACAGTCACGTTTATGAAGCCATCGTTCTTTTTCATGTCTAGAATGGTGTTCAGAGGAACATGGGCAGGAAGTTATTGCTGCACAATAAACTGGTTTATGCTCCTCTGCTGCATGGAGTCTCTCGGTGTCTGGTGGGTCTGGGCTTTAGGCTGCGGATGCATGGGGACAGCGTAGCCGTGGTTTGGTCCTGCCTTTAAAGGTCATCCAGCTCTTTGTGGTGCTGTCTGTGGAACATGTTCTTTTATCCCCCAAGTGGAGCTTCCTGGAAAGGAATGGACTTTGCCTCCTGAATGTGCCCATCTCTCCAGTTCCCAGGTCAATGACATCGTGTGTCAGTGACCTATAGCCCTCATCATCCTGCCGTAATAAACGTGCCATCAGCGTCTCACATGCTGAACCAGTGCCTCGTTCAGCAGCCCCTGAGCAGGGAGCAGCCCTGTTCATGGAGCCTGGGATGGAGGCTCAGCAAAGAGCCTGGGAAATCAGGGAAAATGAGCTCTTGGGGGAAAAGCTTGTGGAAGAGGAAGGTGTTGGTACGGACCTGACCCGTGTCTCACTGCAGGGCCTGGTCCTGAGCACTCACTGGAGCTCTTTGGTGGGTGAACGCTAGTGCTTTCCTGGTAGCTCCCTGCTCCCACCTTCTTGCTGTTCTGTGATGCGAGAGGGGGCTGGATCAGCAGGACACAGCTCTGATGTGCCCCGCAGCACAGGGTGTTGACAACACACATATTCCGTATCCAAACCCGCTGCGTGGAGCAGGCTTTCTGCTGGGAGCATCGCCCATGATTTACCCCTCTCCTTGCCCTTTCTCTCACTGCTCCAATCACTACACGAGCAAGGAGCAGAATGAGGAGCCAGAGCTGCCTGGTTTCAAGCATGTCAGGATCAGGCGAAGCGGGGTTTGATCTGTGCTGGGTAACTCCAGACCCTGGAACTCACCTCATGGCCTCTCTGTCCCCAAACCCGCCCCCAGTCCGTGCCCTTTGGTCGCTGGGGAGCAGCGGGAGGCACAGGGGCGGTGTCTGGAGCTGTGCGCGCTGGTGCAGCCCGGGCTCCGCGCTGCTCCCTGCTCTGCTCCATGTGGGGCAGGATGAGGCTCCTGCTGCGGGCAGCGGGGCTCTGCGCTCCCAAGCTGCCTCTGACCGCTGCGGCGGCCTCCTCCGGCTCCTCTCCCGCTGTGCCCATGGGGCTGCCCCGGCCCCCGGCCCGCTGGGGCTCGGGCTCGGGCTTCCATGTGCCCCCCAGCGCTGAGGCCGTGGCGCGGCCCGTGGGGATCTGCTCCATGATGAAACTGCCCGTGCAGGACTCAGCGGCGGGGCTGGACGCGGCCTTTGTGGGCGTCCCGCTGGACACGGGCACGTCCAACCGCCCCGGAGCCAGGTGAGGGCCAGCGGCGGGGATGGGGACCCGGTGAGCGCCGTTCCCGGCTTCGGGAATTGTGCCCGGCAGCGCTTCCCGCCTGTGGCACGTCCCCAGGTTCGGCCCGAGGCAGATCCGGGCCGAGTCCTCGCTGCTGCGGAGGTTCAACGGCAGCACCGGGGCTGCCCCGTTCGATTCCCTGCGCGTGGCTGACATCGGGGACGTGAACGTGAACCCCTACAGCCTGCCCCAGAGCTGCCGCCTCATCCGCGCCGCCTTCCAGGACATCCTGGGCTCCGGCTGCGTGCCCCTCGCCCTGGGTAAGGACCCGCGGCCCCCTCATGTCCCTGCTCACTCCGGCTCCCTCCCCTCACTCAGCGTGAGCAGGGCAGGAGCCGAGTGATGGATGTGCCCCGCGCTGCTGAGCTGGGGGGAATTCCATGGAATCCCAGCCTGGTTCTGTTGGAAGGGACCTTAAAGCTCATCCCGTTCCAACCCCTGCCACAGGCAGGGACCCCTTCCACTAGAGCAGCTTGCTCCAAGCCCCTGTGTCCAACCTGGCCTTGAACACTGCCAGGAATGGGGCAGCCACAGCTTCTCTGGGCACCCTGTGCCAGCGCCTCAGCACCCTCACAGGGAAGAGCTTCTGCCTTATCTCCAACCTGAACTTCCCCTGTTTCAGTTTGAACCCATCACCCCTTGTTCTATCACTCCAGTCCCTGATGAAGAGCCCCTCTCCAGCATCCTTGCAGCCCCCTTCAGACACTGGAAGCTGCTTCTCTTCTCCAGGCTGGTCTCTGCCAAAGTACTGCCATCAGTGACGCCTCTTGTGTGAAACCCGAGGCTGGCTCGGCCAAGAGCCTGTTTCAGTGCTCCCCCGCAAGCACAGCCCAAAGCTCAGCTCTAAACACAATCAGCAATGGGCTTTTTGTTGAGGAGGACCCATGAGCTGTTTGTGGCCCTCTGGAAAGCCTCGAGCTTGAGTGAGTGCCCAGCATCGTCATGCTCTGCACAGGGCATGAACTGGGCTAGTGTTCAAGTTCCTGCCTGTCACAGCTTGGCATCGCTGGATGAAGTGAATGTGGGCAGTGATAAGGGACAAACCATCAGTGATGGTGTCCTCAGAGGCCAATCAAACACCAGCTTATGAGCTGCCCTGCTGGCACTCCTGCATCTCTGCTCCTCCCAAGGAGGGAAGAGGAGGGAGGAAGCAGCCTGTACCTGGGAGCCATATTTTCCTTTGGGAGTTAAGCTCTGGGGTATATAAACCAGTGCAGGATAAAAGCAAGGAGGGAAAAACATCACCTGGGTGATGTGAGTGAGTACTGAGCACCTCCTGCAGTGTTACACGCTCTTCCCTTGTCCTGTTGCAGGTGGGGATCACACCATAACATACCCCATCCTGCAGGCCGTGGCAGAAAGGTATGTTTCTGATCTGGAGATGTAGGATAAGGATCTGGGAAGGAGCTTTGGGAAGGTTCCTGCTTTGCTGTGATGGGGAATAACATGGCCGCCCTGTCCCGACCAGGCACGGCCCTGTGGGGCTGGTGCACGTGGATGCTCACACCGACACCGTGGACAAAGCCTTGGGGGAGAAGATCTACCACGGGACCCCGTTCCGGCGCTGCGCGGATGAAGGGCTGTTGGACTGCGAGCGCGTGGTCCAGATCGGCATCCGGGGCTCCTCCTATGATGCCGATCCTTACAAGTACTGCCGGGACCAGGTAAGCTCAGGGAAGAGCTTCTTCCTTTCCCCAGTGTCGGTATTCCCGTGTCAGTAACACTCCCTTGGCTTCAGCAGGAAGAGAAATGTCTTTTCTGTGCCTTGGGATGAGCACTCCCAGTGCCTTGAGCCATCAGCGGAGCAGGGAATGAGGGGTTCCCACTGGGGCAGGGGATGCTCCGCTCTGCCTGTGTGTTCCTGTGCAGGGGTTCAGGGTGGTCCCGGCTGAGGAGTGCTGGATGAAGTCCCTGGTGCCGCTCATGGCGGAGGTGCGGCAGCAGATGCGGGACCGGCCGGTGTACATCAGCTTCGACATCGATGGGCTGGACCCTGCGTACGCACCGGGCACCGGGACACCGGAGGTGGCCGGGCTCACGCCGGCGCAGGTGAGGGGGAGGCAGTGTCTTCCCAGGGATGAGGATGGTTTTGCTCCCCTTACAGGAGGCTGTGCTGCAAGGGAAGCATTAAGGGAGAGCAGGGAGCATTTCTTAGCAGGGATGAGGAAAGGAAATGCTGAACGGGGGTTTGGAACAGGGAACACTGGAACTTGAATGGAAAGTTCAGCTTAGATGTAAGGAAGAACCTTACATCTACACCTCACATGGCGAGGTGCTGGCACAGGGTGCCCAGAGAAGCTGTGGCTGCCCCATCCCTGGCAGTGTTCAAGGCCAGGTTGGACACAGAGGCTTGGAGCAAACTGCTCTAGTGGAAGGGGTCCCTGCCCGTGGCAGGGGTTGGAGCTGGGTGAGCTTTAAGCTCCTTTCCAACACAAACCAGGCTGGGGCTCTATGAACTGATGCAGTTTGACCTCTACACTTTGGGTTTCCCCCTGCATGTGGGAAAAGCAGAGCCCTGACCATTCCGCTGCCTCTGATGTGTTTCTTGATCCCAAATGTGTTTTCTTTCCTAGGCTTTGGAGATCATTCGTGGCTGCAAAGGCCTGAACATAGTGGGATGTGACCTTGTCGAGGTTGCACCCATGTACGACGTCTCTGGTGAGTCTAAAGACAGTGGAGAGTGAGAAGTGTGCTTGGCAAAGGCACTGACCACCGCGGTTTGGGGTTTTTCCCCTATTCTTGCCTGTTTCAGGTAACACAGCCCTGCTGGGGGCAAACCTGCTCTTTGAGATGCTCTGCGTT